CAGTGCATGGCTACCCTACCTACAGAACAGAGTAGTACTGCCCACAGAACTGCCAATATTCAAACCAGGAAAATTTGGCAGGACGCTGGGAACTATAAAAACATGTCTCAGCAGTTTGCAAATAAAAAGACTAGAACTGGAACAGAAATACTAGAATTCTGAATGCAATGGTCATTTTTAACATGTGAGACACAGCTTAAAAGTGAGCTGGATAAACACACTACCTAGATGCTGCAAGAAAAATATGGATGAGAATATGAGGATAAATGAGGTTAAGTCAAGAAGTATATTAAACTTATTAAACAAAAGTATCAAAATTGGAAGCTACTGTTTCTCAACATATCCTCCATCTACGTCTGTAAATCCTGAAGGCAGTGCTTTCCTTTAACCCTTCCCCAAAGAATGTGGTGGTCTTCGATTTACACCATGTCAAAAACAGCAGTTTTGGTATCCTTGAGAGTTTGGGAAAGAAGTCTGAATGGGCAAGATGAGGGATGTAGGGTGGATGGAATTATCATGAAAAACGAGCAGGTGCTCTTTTTTTAGTGACGGAAAAAAATTCTTTGGTACAATTCTCCTGCTCTTTTTCTAGCCAATGTAACTTCAACATTCTTGAAACATCTTCATAAGAAGCAGCGTGGTTGTCTTGTTCTCTCTAAAAAAACTATCAAGGTTATCCTTTGAAAAAGTTGCCATTATCTCCTGAGCTTTCCTCTCTGCACAGCAGATCTTGGAAACCTATGTTCTGGTTAGACCTTTTTTATTTTAAGGTACCCTAACAAGGAGAAAAGATTGAAGTTGTCAAGGACTTCATTCTTCTTGGATCAACTATCAACACTCGTCGAAGCAGTAGTCAAGAGATCAGACGACGTATAGCACTGGGCAAATCTGCTGCACAGGAACTTATTAAAGTGTTGAAGAGCAGAGATGTCAGCATGAGGACTAAGGTGCGCCTGACCCAAGTCATGGTATTTTCAATAACCTCATATAGATGCGAAAGCTGGACAGTGAATAAGGAAGATCGTAGAAGATTTGATGCCTTTGAATTGTGGTGTTGGAGGAGAATACTGAAAGTGCCATGGACTGCCAAAAGAACCAACAGATCTGTTTTGGAAGAAGTGCAGCCAGAGTGCTCCTTGGAGGCCACAATGGCTAAACTTTGTCTCTCATACTTTGGACATATTGTCAGGAGGGAACAGTCGCTGGAGAAGGATGTCATGCTGGTAAGATGGAGGGTCAGAGAAAAAGAGGAAGACCCCCAACGAGATGCATTGGCCAGGTGGCATCATTGATGGACTCAAGTGTGGCAGCGGTAGTGAGGTTGGCCCAGGATCGGACATTGTTTCGTTCTGCTGTGCATGGGGTCGCTATGAGTCGGTTCTGACTCGATGGCACCTGACAACAACAACAACACCAACAAGACTAAGACAAGTCCATTACTAAGAGTCCTTGTCAGCACTGTTCAGAGATATGCTTAAAAATGCTTTAGAATAAATCTCTGCAAGTATGAACTGGAACCACAGTAGCCTTACTTTTTGACTTACTCTCCTATAGATACAAGATATGAAGAGTAGATGTAACATCAGTTTAATTGGAATATAGAAAGTAAAAGAGAGAAAATGGATCAAGGAAATCTTTGAAGAGAACTATTTAAGAGTTTTCCTATAGACTTTACAGAAGTTTGATGCCAGATCTTTCAACCTAACCACTATGCTTATAGCTCCTCAAAACAGCATTACATAGTCATCAGCTATGGCATCACAACTAGTAAGTGTGAAGATATATCAATTACACACACAAAAAATGACATCACAACATAGATAGCAGAAACTTTCAAGAACACAAAATAAATAAATCTACAAAGTAGATTCAGAAGAATATATTAAGACAATTATTAAGTTTGACCTAATTAGTGAGAGATACATTATAAACTACAGAGGAAACACATTTTGTTCACTAGTCTGTTATGTTGTTGTTAGTGCCATTAAGTCAGTTTCGACTCTAAGTGACCCTATATATGGTTTCTGAGGAGCAGCTGGTGAATTTGACCTTGTATATATATAAAACAACTCAACGTCATCGAGTCAAGTTTGACTCACAGCAACCCCGTACGGGGTTTCTGAGGCTATAAATCTTTAAGGGAGCAGAAAGCCTCATCTTTTTCCTGGGTAGTGGCTGGTGGGTTTGAACTGCCCACCGTGAAGTTAGCAGTCCAGTGCTTATTCTACAACACTGACAGGACTCCTGTATCTTATATGTTGTTGTTGTTAAGTAACATAGTCAGTTCTGACTCACAGCAATCCTGAATAAGGCTTTCAAGAAATGGCTGATGGGTTTGAACTGCCAATCTAGTGGTTAGCAGTCCAGTGATGATCCTACAGTGCCACACCAGGACTCCACATCTTATATGGTAGTGGTGATTGTGTGCTGTGGCATCAGATCTGACTCACAGAGACTCTATATAGGGTTTCCGAGGCTGCAAATCTTTATAGAAGCAGAAAGCCTCATCTTTCTCCCATGGAATGGCTGGAGATTTCAAACTGCTGACTTTGAGGACGGTAGCCTGACTCGTAAACACCATGCTACCAGAGCTTATATAGAAACAATACATTTCAGAAAGCAGAAGTTACATATGGTATATGTTTTTTTTTCACACTTAAACATCTTTAATATAGTATTTTTAGGTGATGCAGAGTCAGTTCTGACTCATAGTGACCTTGTGCATAACAGAGCAAATTGCAGCCTGGTCCTTTGCCATGCTCAGTTGCTACGTTTGAGTCCATATTGCAGTTACTGTGTCAGTCCATTTCGTTGAGAGACTCCCTCTTTTTTCACTGACTCTCCACTTTATCAAGCATGATGCCCTCCTTTGATTGGTCTCTCCTTTTACCATGTCCAAAGTAGGAGAGGAAGTCATGACATCCTTACTTTCAAGGAACAATCGGGGCTGTGTGTCTTCCAAAACAGATTTGTTCTTTTCATAGAACATGGCATTTTCAATACTCTTGGCCAACACTATAATCCCAATTCATCAGTTCTTCTGTAGTCTTCTTTATACATTGTCCAGCTTTCACAAACACATAAGGCAAATGAAAATGCCATGAGTTGGGTCAGGTTCACCTTAGTCCTCAAAGGTCTTTTGCAACAGATTAGTACAACGCAGTATGTAGTTTCATTTCTTGACTACTGCTTCCATGAGCAGCTATTTGTATATGTTGTTGTTAAGTTATATATGGTATATTAAAAAATTAACAACAAAAGCCTAACTAAACAAACATAACTCACATTTCAGTTTGTTTGAAATCTCAGCAAAATTTCCAAATATATCACTTATAAATTCTCTGTTCCACATTACAGTAGTTTTCAATTCAGTCCAGTTGTCTTCCACATTACATAACAACAATCATCTCCAGTTTTCAAAAACATGTTCCTCATACGTATCTGGACCAGAATCACCATAACATTTATATTTCCAGCAACATGCTCTTCATGACAATATATGCATTCTCTAAGATGATACATATTTTCTTCACAGCTCTCTTCACTTCTTTAAGAGTCCTCACTAGAATTAACTTAATGACTATATTTCTAACAACAGTTGCTTCAAAGGAATCTAGACCCTTTGTATCTTGTACCTCAAACTCTGCTAGCCTCTATACCCATTACCAAATACGAAAAGTCATAGCCACTTTTTTTTTTTTTTTTTTAGTATTTGTTACAGCAGCATCCCACTCCTGGTACCAAATATGTATTTGTTTCCTAGGGCTGACACAGTTAAGTTACTATAAACTGAGTGGCTTAAAACAACAGGCATTAAATCTCATGTAGTTCCGGAAGCTAGAAGTCTGAAGTAAAGGCTCTGAGGAATACTGTTATTGTTGTCAAGTGCCTTTCAGTCAGTTCCAACTCATAGCAACTGTGTCTAGGGTTTCCAATGAGCAACTGGTGGGTTTGCAACACCAACCTTGCAGTTCAAACCTACCTTGTGGTTCAGTGCATTGTCCTGCGGCACAACCTGTTCTATTCCTTTTCTGAGCTTCTGGGGATATTGGCTATCCTTGGCATGCCTTGCCTTGTAGAAGCATCATTCTATTTTTTGGCCCTGCCATTACATTATATTATCTTTATGGGCCTATGTCAAAATCTCTCCCATCTTATAAAGACATGGTCATATGATTAAGATCCACTGTAGTCTAACATGACCTCATCTTTACTTAATTATATCTTCAAAGACCCTATTTTTAAATATGGTCACATTAACATGTACTAGAAGTCGGGAATCAATGTCTTTTCAGGGGACACAATGTACAACAGTGACTATGATTTAGTATGTACCCAATATGTGTATACATGTTGCTTTTGTCCTTGACAGATTTTACTACATTTAATTCTATCAACTACATTTCAAATAGATAATACACTAAAATCACTATATGTTAGATTTCTAATAGCAGGTCAAATCTACTTATGAAGAAGTATTTTGGAGATAACTTTCAAATCCAAGAGAGGCAGTTATAAAAATAGAAGTCATATGTTTTCAGTAGTGCGCAAAAAGTTTTTGAGTTCTTTTTACCATGGAGCCCCTATTAATTGAAATGTACAAAAGTTAAAAAACAAAACAAAACCAAAACCAAAAACCTAGAATGGTAAGTAACTACATGAAGGAGCTTCAAAAAAGCTTGTGGAAAAATGGAATTAAAAGATAATGGAATTTTCCACAAACTTTTGAAAGCCTCTCATATATTTTTTTGCTGTTTTTCACTAATACCCTAATAACTGCTAAAAAGCTAAGAGGATAAAAGTACCAACCTCCATAAATCTTTTACCTTAAAACGAAACAAGCTTATAGAAAAAAAAAAAAGGTACTTGGGTACACTTGGTACTTAACAACAACAAATCTTTTTTCAAGTAATTAAAAGAATAAAGGAAGTGGAAAAGAAGAGCAGTTCAAAGTACGTTTCCCATAGGTCACTATTCATTTGCAAATGAGTTCTACTTACATCATTAGATTTATACTTTTCCTTATGACAATATATAGTCCACTCCAAAAGCATATTTACTGGCTTAGTAAAAAGTGCCGAGGTCTCACTTCCAGACCAAAAGAGTTCAAGAAGAATTGCCGTTCCTGTAATTTTCAGACTCTGAGACTCTGACCAGTCATATAACCTAAAGAATAAATTAAAAGAAAATCCTTATGTCAATTTGATTGCTATAATTACTAAATACATTATCTTCTGTCAAAAAACAATATACTAGCAATTTTTGAATGCAAAAAACGTTATAACATAAGAAGTTATAAGTATAATAAATGACAAAGTATTAAAAAATGATCTCAGTTCAATTAAAAAATGACACTGTATATACTATCTACAAAGTTTAGAACATAAGGAAAATTTATCATGGGCATTACAGAAGCAGTAATAAAACCTGATGAGCTTTTAACTTAAATATTCAATTACTAAAGAATTTTGAAAATAAAAAACCTGAGATATGAAAATTGACTTATCCAAATATATAACTCAATGCAAATATATGTGAACCGAGACAAAAGAAATATTGCCACTGAATGCCAGTGTCTAGAAATATTTTCCTAAACCAAAAGATCTACTTTAACATAAAAAACAAGAGGGTACTTTAGAATTATGTATATAAATTATTAGAAAAATGCTGTACATGAACAATGGAAAAATACAAGTGTTACTTTTAAGATTAAAACTTACTTTTGACTCAGATGTCGTACTTCGCTTTCAACTAAATTAAACAAAAATTTAAGCAGTGCCAGGTGGAGAACCTTAGAGCCAATAATATTTTCTGAAATTTGGTGACAAAAAGTTTCATTGAAAAGACATGACCTGAAAAACAGGAACCCAATAATCTATAACATACAATGGATACACTGAGTAATTTGTGGACCAAGTATTTCTTTTAAAATTATATTAACAACATATTTTCCTCTTCTAAAAATTAAGCAAATATCTATTATTATCTATTAATAATGAAGATATAATTTCTTTACCTTTCAATGACTATAATGTTTAAGGACAATCTGGTATTTGCCCCTATTTTTTTTAATATACTGACAAATGCTGCCTAATTTCATAAGTTCTTGTGGTTGATACGACCAGATACGGTCTCAATTTGCAGTACTTTTCACCAACTTCCCCATACCCAAGATTATTTTCTTTTTTATTATTTTTTAAGTGATAAGTCATGTAGGGCTACTTCTTTAGAGTTTTTAAAATTCAGTATTTTATTTTCTTTCAATCTTTTATAGAAGTACTGCCCCAATGTTCTGTGATGATGAAAATGTCCTACTGGCGATTCTCATAGTTCTGCAGGCTAGATGTCTGATGTGAAAGTTCTGGGGAATGTAAGACAAGGAGAATTTGTTCTATGCCTTTTCTGAGCTTCTGATGTTGCCAGCAATTCTTGGCATTCTTTGCTTGTAGAAGCACCATCCCAGTCTTTTGGCCATGGCCATGCCAGCATGATAGGCTCGAAGGCAACAGGTTTAATGCAACTGAAAGCCTGAATTTTTAATTAATCAATTAATTTCAATAGCCACATGTAGTACTGGCTAGTATGTTGTATAGCATAGTTACATAGTACTTTTTAAGGAGAACATGCGGTGGTAGGATTTAAAGCAACAGTCTAGGCAACTATTTGTTGTTGTTAGGTGTCACTGCGTGGGTTCTGACAAAACAGAAGTCAATACTGCTGTCACTGTACCATCCCATCTCACTGGGGATCTTCCTCATTTATGCTGACCACTCATTTTACCAAACATGAAGTCCTTCCTGTCTCCAGGGGCTGGTCACAGCTGATAATAAGTCCAAAGTATGACAACATCTCACCATCCTGACTGCCAAGGAACATTCTGGCTGCACTTCTTTCAAGAAGACTTGCTAGTTCTTCTGGCAATCCATGGTACCTTTAATATTCTTCTCCAACATCATAATTCAAGTGCATCAGTTCTTCTACGGTCTTCCTTATTCACTGTCCAACTTTCACAAGCATATGATACTACTGAAAATACCATGGTTTGGGTCAGGTGCACCCTAGTCCTGTAACTGAAATATTTCCTCTTCAACATTTAAATAGGCCTTGTGTAGCAGATTTGCCAAATGCAATATGTCATTTCATTTCTTGACTGCTACTTCCATGAGTGTTGATTCCATGGATCCAAACAAAATGAAACATGTAATCTTTTCAGCATTTATCATGATTTTATTTATTGGTCCAGTTGTGAGGATTTTTTTTCCTCCACATTGAGATGCAGCCCATTCAACAGCACCTAACAAAACCACAACATATGCTACGCGGAAGACAGCATTTTCAGGGGCATGAAAGAGATGACATACTTAGGAAACATTAAAATTCTGTTCTAATATTCAAATTGCAAGCTGAAAAAACAAAACAAATACACTAAAACAAGTATTGTACAGTTGCAAATGTTTGTTTTTAATGACCAAAATTTGATGATATCCATACTCAACATTACTCTTTAAGCCACACCTATAGTCCAATAATTGCATTCATCTATTCATCAAACATTTATTTTTAAAATACAGATTGATAAACATGGTCAATATATGACTAGACTTTTTATCAAGGAGTAAGCAATAAAAATGATACACAAACTTGAAAAAAACAAACCAAAAACAAACCCACTGCCGTCAAATTGATTCTGACTCACAGCAACCTTACAGGACAGAGAACTGTCCCATAGGGTTCCCAAGACTGCAACCTTTACACAGACAGTACGTCTTTCTCTGCTTTGAACTGATGGTCTTTCAGTTAGTAGCCAAGAGTTTAACCACTGTGGCATACAATTTTTTCCTAAAACACAAACTATGCTTCTTTTATTGTTGTTATGTGCTGTCACATTGGTTCCAACTCATAATGACTTTATGCACAACAGAACGAAACACTGCCTGGTCCAGCGCCAATCTCACAATTGTTACACCTGAGCCCATTACTGATGTCACTGTCTCAATCCAACTTGTTGGGGCCTTCCTCTTTTTTGCTGACCCTACACTTTAGCTAGCATAATGCCCTTCTCCAGAGGTAAGTCCTTCCTGATAACATGTCCAAAGTATGAGACAAAGTCTCGCCATCTAGACGTCTAAGGAGCATTCTGGTATACTTCTTCCAAAACAGATTTGTTTGTTCTTCTGGCAGTTCATGGCACTTTTAATATTCTCCAACAACATAACTCAAAAAATACATAACATCTAATAGATGAAATTTAGCATTTTCGCAAGAAATGTCTTACCTGATAAGCACTTCTACTAGAGACCATGCTCCTTTCCTACAAGTTGGACACTGAAACAACTCTAAATAATATCTTGACATGGCTGGGGACTTCCAAGGAGGATGCAGTTTAAGAAGAGCTGACAATATATGAAAGTATCTACCAGAAAATGTATCCACGTGATCCTGTTATTCAAAGGCAAACAAATATAACATTGAAGCTAAAAGTAGTTTTAGCACATTAATTCAGTTTAAAATTAAACGATTCTTAGCTTAACTTGCTTACCAAACATGTGTTTCTGGCAAAAGATATCAGATGAAAGTATCTGCTCAGTTAACTGAATAATGTAATGGAACGAGGCATACTTGAAATGTGTTATCTACACATCAGGAAATCCTAGCTATTGGGATCAGTATACATGAAACATCCATTTATCTTTCCATGAGTATGTTGTTGTTGTTATGTGCCTTGGAGTCGGTTCTGACTTTTAGCGACCCTGTACAGGGTTTCCGAGGCTGTAAATCTTTATGGGAGCAGAAAGTCTCATCTTTCTCCCAAGGAACACCTAGTAGTTTCGAACTGCTGACCTTGCGGTTCACAGCCCGATTCGTAACCACTACGCTACTAGCAAATGAAATTAAGTGTCACTGTAGGATAAGCACTAAACTGCAAACCATATGGGCAGCGGCTCAAATTTACCAGTTGCTACTTGGAAACCCAGCACAGGGTCACTATGAATTGAAATTGACTCAATGGTACTTAACAACATCAACAAATATTGCCTAGCAGAAACCAAAGGTAAGAAATTTTTCATGGAACATGCTTGCTTATCCACAACATTAGTCTGGCAAAGTCTCAGTCTGTTATTTATTCAGTTTGGTACCTTGATGAAAAACATGACTGGAATGCTATCTTTGAATAGAAGTTCTTATTTGTTTTCAGAGTTTAATGATAATTCGTTATGTATTTGTTATTGTTGTTAAGTACTTTTGTGTCAGTTCCAACTAACAGTGATCCTGTATTAGGATGGTTGGTGAGTTTTACTGGCCAACCTTGCGGTTCAAACTGACCTTATAGTCAAATTTATCCTACAGCGCCACAACAGAATCCTCTTTATGTATACTATAAATAAAAATGATTATTATCAGTGTACTAAAGGAGTGATTTGTCAAATGCCATTCTAGCTCATTGTAATCTGATGTTTATGTTAGATACTTTGTTCCCATGAAAAAAAAAATCAGATAATGTTTTTCCAAGAGAGAATTAACTTTGATATTGAGAAACAATAAATTAAAGTACTCAGAGTAATAACTAGTGTATCAGAGTAAGTCAAATGTATTGTTACAGAAACCTTATGAAACAAATATATCAAAATGGGAAGGTACTGTTTCTCAACATACCTTCATCTAGGTCTACACACTTTAGGTGGTGTTTCCATCTCTCTAACCTGCCTCAAAAAACTCTACTCTCATCTGTTTACACCACACTGAAACACCAGTTTTGGTATTCTCCAGGGAGTCAAACAGTTATACTTCTTAAATGTTCTTTGAGCTTTAGGAACAAAAAGAAGTCTAAAGGGGCAACACCAAAGCTGTAGAGTGGCTGGGGTAAGGTTTCTCA